GTTTTTGGATTAACAAAATCTGAGCTCCACCTGTGGGCATCCTTCAGGGGAACCTCTCCTAGAGACCCCGTGATTTGGCTTGACTGTTGCATGCCTCTGAGAATTGAAGTTTTCCCCAGTGTTGTTAATCCTTCTTTCCTCATCAGTTCATACCAGAAACCACAAGCATCCCACAAAGGCATAGCTTTTTCCTCTAACCCTCTGCATTGCTTACATGCATCATGACTGCTCTTCTCATGAGAGAGGATGCAGAGCCTGAGTTCTCCCCACATTTATACTGGAGAAAGTAGCACTGACTGTATGCACCCTGGAGGGACCTCTGAGGCTGTGGTAGGGATGGATCAGCAGTGTCAGTTCTCTGGAGTAAGTCATTCCCTCTTCCTTCTTTGGATAATATATAACTTAAAACACTGATGCAGAGATTTAGTTTGCCATGACCAAATCACTGTATTCACTTTAGACTATGAAGCTTCCACTTGGATTCGGGAGCATGCTGCAGCTCTGCATAGACAGCTGCAGTCTGTTCCTGCTCTTAGATGGATCTGGACCTTTTTCCATTCAGGTTTATTAACTGTACAGATCAGAAACTTTCCAAAAATAACTTCCTTTCCTCCTGTCCTTATCTCTGTGTCCAAGTAAGTTGCAGGGAATGGCTTAGCTGAGCTGTCCTTATTTTACATGTCCTTCTCTGGCATGTGACTGTTACCTAACCAGCAGCTATGAATGTTTTAGTGTGCCCATATAGCACGGCTCGATGTACTGTGCTCATTACTAAATCATAAAACTGATCAGTGTCTTTGCAACGTTGGCAGTGCACTGTGCTTTTACCACATTAATTACTTCATATGCCACAGTGCACCACACCAGCACCCCTCCTGTGCCCACCAGGTCCTGCATGTTCCCACCATCAAATAGATGAGGGGTGAACATCTGCATAGCTGTTGCCGAGCTGCTGATTTCCAGCCATGGCATCACTGTGCCGTGTTAATAATTCAGAAGTGATGGAGAGCTGGAAGAGTGTAAAGTCTGCAGCACTCTTTGTTTCTGGGCAATGTTCACTACCTCCTGGTGGCTGTGCTGTTGCCACGGAAATGGCAGTGGGATGGCACGGCAGTGGGATGGCACAGCAGTGGGATGGCACGGCAGTGGGATGGCACGGCAGTGGGATGGCACGGCAGTGGGATGGCACAGCAGTGTGCTGGCATGGGGCTGCTGGGAGCAGCAGCACTTGTGTCCACGTGTGAAACACGGACTCACCTTCCTTCTATCTGGGGCCTTTTCCCTTTTCTCTCAACAGCTTTGTGAAACTTAATTGTTAAACAAATGATGCTCCCAAGTTCTAGAGTATGTGTTGAAGAGTTCTGTTGTTAGAGATTTTGTAAAAATACGCAGTGTCAGAAGGTGAATGCTGCTGGTGATCTGGAGGAGTGGGGGGAGGTCATGTAGGAATGCAATCATGAAATCTTTCACTGATACAAAGCAAAGGCTTGTTTATAGTCAGACGGTGGCTAGAGGAAGGTGGGCTGATCTGTTGGAAGTGCCCTGGTACTTTAGGGAATAGATGTACTGTGAAAGACTAAGGACTGCTTCATTGACCTGTTTTCCTCTATTTTGGGCAAGGCTGAACTGGTCTGCAGCACTTGCCAGCCTCCTGGTGCCACCCTCAGGCTGCAGGTGGGCTGCTGTGTGTACACAGCCATAGAGCATATCCATCCTTTTTTGCTGGTATTACCTATGCTGTTTGTTTTGTTGCTGTCTTAGGTGCTTAGATTCTCAGCAGTTACACTGCAATTACTCTGGAAGTAATGGCTAAAAGCTTTCCTCGTAGGAATAAGAGTGGAACTTGATGGCTGGCTTGAGATGAACGACTGGGCTGTTCTCCACCAGCTGAGTAAGTCTCTCTCTCCTTTCAGTGGCAGACCAGTTAAGGCTAACCAAGGTTTTCTGTACCACGTTAGATCATTCGCAACTGCCTGGCAACTATTCACATGCTTCCTTCAGAGCAGGACCGAATACCATGCAAACCCTCTTTTCTTTTGAATTCCTTGGCAAATAAATACACCTTTTCTACACCAAAGTTTTATTTATGGAACCAAACTGTGTGCCTACATAGGTATGAATCTGCCCAGCAGAGTAATTCCAGCTGGCTTGTAGGATGTTCTCTGTCACTCAGCACTGATCCATTTTGTACCCATTCTTCTTTTAGGATCTGCCTTCAACAGATGTTACTATGGGAGTAAGCTGTGAGGTTTAACTTGTTTTTGCCTCAGTTTTAGTACACAGATGTGGTATCCTGTATTATGAGCAGGAAACTTGAAATTCCTGAGCATATAATGAGGTTGTTTCTCCTCGCTGCCTCTACGGATCCTTTGGGAGTGCTTCAGAAGTCTTCTTTTGCCCTCTTGCCCCCCAGAAGTCTCCAGTCTCCAGGTTCAACACCTTGAATGTGGAGTGTATCTACTTCAAATCTGTAATCCGTGAAGCACACTTAAGAGTAAATACTGAGTATGTGTTAGCAAAGCTTAATGCTAGAGTATAAAGTTCAGCATTGGTCATCCAAAATAACACATGCTGCAATTTATTTGCCAGTGCTTTAAAAATCTGATTAAAAATACAGAGTGGAACAACACACTTGGGCAACGGGTGTGATATTTAGCAAACCGTAATGTAAGTAGCTTCTTGCAATTATGCTTGTGTCTTTGGAAGAGGTGCTAGCTGATACTGATAGACTGGAGCTTTAACCTGTTTGGTTGGTTCTTGAGGGGGTTGGGAATCAGCCCATGGAAGAGTAGGAGTGGACAGCAGAAAGATTTAATTCTTAAAAACGTTAGTTCCAAGTACAGTTATCTTCTGTTTTCTTTAGCTAAGGCACTACTGGGCTTAGCCTTGATCCCTTCTGAAACTGGCATGTTATGTGTGCTCTTTTTAATTGAAAAACATCTTCAGTACCGACTGCAAAGTGAGTCTGAAAGGGGAGTCCATTGTCCAATACAGCAGCAACTGGTAGTTGAAGGAAATGCACAAAATGGAATGGAGGCCAGCACGCTGGTACTTCACAGAGTTGCTTTTGTCAAAGTTAAGGTGCTTTCAGTACATCTGAATTCAGGAAGCATCTATTGGTAGAGTTATACAGTTTTTACATTTTTAGAAGTCATTCTTTATTTTACAACTCAGTTTAGACTGAACTACTATTAGGAAAATTGTTAAATCTCAGTCTTGCAGAGTGATTGCAGTTAATTTCCTGTTCTGTGATAGTGCAGTGAACAGCCTCGTTATCCCCAAGCTACTTAGTGTTTCATATAAGGTTCTGCTGTGTGTGTGTTTTGAGGACACTGACTTTTAAAGACATGTGCACGTCTCCCCTCTGGCCTGGCAGCTTGTTTAAAATGAAAACATAGCAGACTATGAGAAAGCAACTGAGAAGCAGTTCATGTAAAACTGTACTGTGCAGGTATGTGAACGGGGTGAGAGTGCTTGGGTGACTCTGGCTGAGCTCTGTGTAATCCTGGTGCACAGCCATGGTTCAGCTGCTTCAGATGCAGTTGAAAATGCCAATTTTGTAGTTTAATAATTGTGGGTTTTGGAAGTGACTCATTTTTTAAGGACTTTAACTTCTAAGTAAAAATTAATCTCCAAATCTTTCAGCTGATGAATATGTAATTAAGATGATACATTTGAATAGGACTGTAGCCTAGAGGTTACAGGAATGCTTCAGAAGAATTGAATCAGTAATGCTTTTGTTCTTCTCATCCTCTGGGAGCGTACCACAGGCTCTAACTAATGCAACATGGTGTTCGTTCTTTTGACTGTTAGCTTGCTTCTTTCTGGAAAGGAGTTGCCTCTTCATTATAAGCAGATCAACTACAGACAGTTTTTACTTACCAAAATTTGTGGAGGAAGATGACTCTAATACTTTCCACTGTTGACTTTGACTTCTAATTTAGATAAAGGACAATTGTGATTATTTAAGGAAAGAGCTCAGAAGAAGAGACACATTTGAAAAATATAGGACTTAAGAAGAGACACTGGAAGAAATGGATTTTGACCTTAAATATTAATATTGAGGTAAAATTTTCAAGATAAAGAAAATTTCGCTATTAAATTCCATTAAACGCTGCTTTGTGCATGAGTCTCTAAAGTACTGAAATAGATTTTTAAATCAGAACTATTTGGAAAATACCTCATTTTGTGTCACGGAGTTCTGTGTGTTGTGATATATCCTATGCTCAGCCCTCCAGTTGCATTCCATTTTGCTATTTCAAGAGTCAAATACATCTTACGTTATTTTTGTTTTCTTGGCAGAATTGTCAATACAGTATGGTTCCTTTACCAGTCTTGGTCTGTTCTTAGGATCTTTTTCAATCAGTAGTATAGATATCCCAGTTGTTGAGTGTAGTAACCCATGTTATTTGTCAAAATAATTGTCCTAAGCCTCTTGAGTAGAGAGGCTCTTAAACACTTACTGTCAAGAAGTATGGTTGTTGCTTTTTTTTTTTTTAATATTCTTAAAATCTTAGTGTGAACTAAATGCAGATCCCACTGTAAGACCTAGAAGTTTAGAGCTGTCTTTATGGATAAGGGGAAAAGGCATTAGGCAATTAAGGACACTTCAGGGGGCTGCATCCTGTTTGGTTACATTATGAAACTTTCTTACCTTGTGAAGATGAGGGAGCGGTGCTCTCTACAACTCCACCGCCACTTCAGCTTGCAGTGGCAGGATTCACAGGAGTGCTTTATTGCTTTGATGAGAGCTTGACTGCCACTCAAGAACAGATATAGCCTGTAGCTATCTCACTGCATTTATGCAAGTGTTTGATGAAAGAATATGAAGATAGATGCTTTAAACATGTCCCTTCTATCCTCTGTCTTTGACAGGCTTATTAAGGCTCATCAAAGAAAGAATCCCTTATTTTAGAACAAACCTGAGATGCAGTTTGCAATTGAGCGCCCCTCAGAGAGGATTTTGAAAGTTTACGTGCCTCTCTGCTGTGTATTTTCAGGTGCTCTCACAGTTGGCCTTGTGCGACAGTGTCAAACCATCCATGGACGTGACAGGACCTGTATTCCTCCACGGCTGCCTCCTGAGTGGGTCACTACGTTATTTTTCATCATAATGGGAATCATTTCACTAACTGTCACATGTGGTTTGCTGGTGGCTTCCCACTGGCGAAGAGAAGCTACTAAATATGCCCGCTGGATAGCTTTCACTGGAAGTAAGTGACCTCAACTGCACAGTTGACCTGTACACAGGATAAACTGGTGGAGTCCGAAATAACACGTGATGCTGTCAGGGAGCAGTTCTTAGGGCTCCTTTACAAAATACTCTTTCTCTTCAAATACTGCATCTGAGAGGAAAAGGAAATTATTCAAAAACTGAGAGATTGATATCTTAAGTGACTGATAATTGAGAGGGATTGATAGCATGTGAGTCCAAGGTGAGAGAAAGGAGGGCCTTGTATGCCCTGACCCCTTTGCCTTCCTTGAGGAGTGCCATTTGCTGACCTGTGAAAATGAGCAGAGATAGCAAGAGGTCAGTCCCGGATAATTCTTCCTTCCCTACGCCCCTCTATCCAGCACTTTGAGCCAAATGGGATGACTGGGAATTCCCCTGTGTAGTTGATGCATCTGAGACTCACTGCAGTCTGAAGTCCATCCCCACTTCAGGTGTTGCTGCTGAATACCTTTCAACGTTGACACTGGTTCAGTCCTGCTTGATGCTCACAACGGGTGTTTTATTCACAGTATCTGCATCCTAATTGGCTGTGGGGGAGGACTGCCCACTGCAGAGCACCTGCTGTGCTTCACAGCACTGAGGCTTGCTTCCCTTAAGTGTCCTGCAGCAGCTCTTCAGCACAGGGAATAGCACTAATGTTTTTCTGCCTCCCTTCATTGTGTGCTGCATGAACGCCAGCATAATTCCTCACAGCAAAGACTGAGCCTCCTCCAGCAGCCCTGTGTTTCTACACAGGGAAATGCTGTGCCTACTTCAGTGCGAAAGAAAAACAGTTAACCCGCAAGTAAGGGAATAGCTCTCAAACTTCTTTTTCCTTAATGTGCATTCCAGGCTTATGCCAGCTGTAAAATGGTGCTTTAATGGTGGTGATGATGGCATGAAAAAATTCAAAATCTGGCTGCTTTTAAGTTGACATATGACAACAGTGTACACACTAACTAGAAAATGCAAGCTTGTGGTTTATACAAACATAAGTAAGGTTTAATGGAAGTCTGCGGCATCTAATGACATCTAATATAAATGAATTTAAGGTTGTTTGGAAAAGGGAATGATGTGTTAACAACAACAAAAAAATGCAGCAAACAAAAAAAATGCCCTGAGCTTCAGCAGAGACACTTTGCTGAGGACTTGTACAATCAAAGCTGTCTTTCTGACAACTTTTCTATGCAGCATGTTAAACTGTCAGTGCAGCAATTGCAGAGAAAGGAACTATTGGAGTGCTTATCCATTGTGGTTGGCTTTTATTCATTTTCCAATGAATGGCTAAAATAGACATACGTATTGTTGAATGTCCCGTGCCAGCTTTTCTAGTTGCCATTGTCTATTAATACATATTTCTAATGTACACAGGTTTAAATTCGAAATGCTATATCAGATTAAGACACTTGCAGTGAGGAGATCTCAGAGCTATTCAGTTCTCAAGTATTTGGTTATTCAAGTATTTGGTTGTTTGTGGGTTACTGAGGTTTTTTGAGTACTATAAAGTATTTATTTATTGAGGTTTTTTTTCCCCACAGTTCACAGCTTGCATTTTGATTTTTACATATTCTTTAAAATATTTCCAATAATCAAATCCTTGCATCTCTAATTTTCTACAACTTTGATGCTTACTTCAGATAAAAATTCTGATACCTTAAAGCTTGTTGTTTTGTTGTTTTTTTTTTTCCCCTCTGTGGATTCCTTTGGGCTTGCAGTAGGGTCACTATTAGAAGCCTTAACTGTAGAAGGATACTGCTATGTTTCAGCACTTACCTTTGTTATGAGATATTTAAAATGAAGCACATCAATTTGTCCTCTTGCAACTCAGAATTATTTGTAATTCTATTAAGATACGTTTGCTGTGTTGCTGAAATTTACCAGCGGATATTTATCTCCAATACATATGACTCTATGAACTCTGTATTAACAATGATGATGGGAAATTTTATTTCTTAACTCATTTATAAGAAAAGAAGTGAATGGAAGGCAGAGTTATTTATTCTTCAGGAAGCCAATATAAAGAAATTTTGTGGTTCATTGTATGGCAACACAGATGAGTATTCTATTTGTAGATTGATATTAGCATGCATGCAAACGTGTGGCATTAACTACCATGAACCTTCCTGTGAAGTGGCAGAGTGCTCTATTATGAAAACGTGGGTAATTCATTAGAACAGAGTAGGGAAAACTTCATAATTGTATTACATTTCTTCTGCAGGTGATTTCAAGACTGAACAGCCCAGTACAGGCGGCTAGCAGATACTCTCCTCGCAGAACTTTCAGAACATGACATAGGATGTGCTGTCCTAAGTGGCAGTGAAGTCTGCTGGGATTGCTAAAGGCATCTCTGGGACTGGCAGCTCTGTTCTCTTCAAATGCAAGGGGGGTCTAGATGAAGTCATCTAACGACAAAGGAATCTCTTGCTCAGCCCTTTCCTTGCAACTCTGCCAGCAGCAAGGAGAGCCAGGCAGGAGGTCATTCTTGCCTTGCTTGTGCTGGAATTTGACCCCAATGGGTTAAGTCAGTTTGTTGCAGATCCCCTCTAGCTACCTTCTGTCCAAGGTGGTGAAATGCAGTCCAGAGAAGTTATGAGAAAGTCTCGTTCTTATCCATAGGTGATATCTGAAATACCTCTGTTTTTGAGGAAGAAGATGAAGACCTCCCTTGCAGAAGAGAAAGGTCTTGGAAGAGCAGCTCCATGTAGCTGGTTTAACAATATAATGTAGGGAAAAAGAACTTCCTGATTCTTTTGTCTTGATTTTTATGATAATCATATGAAAGACTCTTAAGGAACTATTTGATGTTTTCCTCAATTGATAGAATTCTGTAGAGTAAATTGGTGCAAACATCTTCAGCACTTCATTCCTTTGCTCACTTTACAGAGCACAGTATGATAATTCAGGGAAGAAGAGTCCAGGTCATAAACTAGTGCTGATTGCTTGGCATGCCTATACCAACACCTTCAAAGAGAAGCAAAGGTAGGATAGTGTTTTTCTGCTACAACTAAAAGATTAAGATAGTATTAGATTGATTTTAGATATTGTTTTGGATTGTGATGACTTAATATTCAGGCTGTTGGTTTCAGCTTCTATTGCAGTCTATTTTCACTTCAATATTTTACCCAGGTTATGTCTGTAGATGGGATCTATAGGTCCCTGAATGAGCCTTCACCCGTATCGCTCTGTCCTCAGCAGGTTTTGTTGGCACTACTGATGGCAGCAGAGAAAGCTGCTTGCTTTTCTTTTTGTTTCTAGCAAAGATCACAAAGGAGTAGCTCTCCTGAAGTAAGAATCAGAAACTTTTTATCTCAGCAATGAAACTGTTCTCCTCTATTTCTAAATCATATTGAGATTTAAGCTAACTGCATTATGTACTTTTTTTAGTGGAAATCTTGCTTGTAATAATGTCGTCTTCGATGATGCTTTTCAACAGTGCACTTTCTAAATATGAGTTATTGCTGAGTGGTCTTCTCTATCTTGGTTAGCTAACGGGCACACAAAGGACAATTTTACTGTCATACATGCTCTTTTCTGTTTACACTTTGCAAGGGATGCACCTGAGAGTATTTACTAGCATTGTATTTGCATCTTTCCTCAGCCATTGATTGTTTTACTACACAGAAACTTGTCTGTTTTGGCTTCCATGCAAACTAGCTTTGTAGGTGGGAGGGAGCTTTCAGTCTTTCAGGCCATGCTGCACGAATGATAAAAGTCTTCCTTACGGGAAATGCAAAAAGTTTCATATTCTTCTTGTAGAGTTATTCAAGACTCACAGTATTCCTAACTGATGTGATAGGTATTGTGACCCCGGGTGTAGATGCAGTCAAAACTATCATGAGCCCCGTTAACGTAGTGTCAGATTCACACACTGTAATGAAGTATGGATTCCATCTTGGTGTTCATTTCCGTGCTGCCCAGGTCTTTGTGTGCATCTTCAGTAAGAGGCATTGTAAACTTGTAGCTGTGCCTCGCCTGTTGATGGCAGCCAAAAATCTATCAGCTCTTCATTGCATGGTATTGTTTACTTGTTGCTCAGCCAACTGTCTGTTGCCATCCCAACTCTGTACTGCTTTGTCACTGGTTATGCCCATGATATGGTGGCATAGATTGGTAGCAGGAAAGTAACCTGGATTTGGTACTGTTTTGGTACATGCATCTCTGAACCATACTTCTTTTTTTTTTTTTACTACGCTTTATCTGGGTTCATAGAAGTTATTGCCACTGAATGCTCAAAACAATTTTGAGCTTAAGAATTAAAGGATCTAGACCTCTTCTGACAGCCACTGGAAGTAGCCAAAAAATGGTTGTGTTCTGTTACTGAATACTTTTGTTAATAGAAATTGTAATGGTTGTCTTTTCTGCAGTTTTTCCCTGAAATTGTAAGAACAGACTTTTAAGGGAGAAGTTCTTTAGGGTTGCTGGATGGAAATCCACTGAGTTTATACTACCAGATATGAACAGATATTTTCAGCTTGTATAAGAAATTTCTACCCTCTAGGCAACAATTCTTCTTCTTAAAGAATACACACTGAGTTAACTGAGTGCTTCCTCTCTTAGATTTTCTCATTAGTTTCGGTGTTGTTGTTTTAGTACATTTATCATGTGGTCTTTTCTTACTATCATCTCAAAAAATTGCCATAATTTGGCTTCCTAGTCTGACAAAGAACTTGATGAAAACTGTTTTTCATTTGCTATTTCAGTAGATTAAAAATTCAGACCACACTGAGTAGAATTGCTCGGAAGCCTTCATAGCACTATTGTTAGTTAGAAGAAAAAAGGTCTCTGGTTACTTCTGAAATGTGGATGTGAATCAGCATTATTCACACTGCCTGCATTTCCAGAATTTATTTATTTTGCTCTTGTGAGCTGAGGGAGAGTTGAGGTATCTGCGTGCTTCTGTCCTCAGGCAGAAATGCAATGAGTCACTGGGCATGTGCTCTCCATGGCAATAGAGTGCCACCAGCAGCTCTCAGACCTGCAGCACTGCTGGGTTTGTGTATGTACAACATGCCTCAAAGAGCAATTGCTTAGTAAAGAGAGATAAAGATCTATTCTTCAGCCTTATCCATGCGGCCGTCAGAACTTTTCCGCTCGTATGGTTCTTGAATGTGATAAGGGAGATGTGAGCTTAAAAGTGCACGTGGTGGTTTCAGCATCCTCAAGCTATTTCCAACATTCTCACTGCTGTTAAAATGTAACAGCAATTCTGTAAATAACTGGAAGGTTCTTCAGGGGCAAACTGGATGTAGTAGGAAATGCTGACTTATGGTAATGTCAATCATCCTCAGAGCCTTGTTTAAACTGTTACTAATTATGTGTTGCATTAATAAGTACTTGTTGTCAACCACTGTTTTCTGGACCACTGCAGTGGAGAGCTCTTCTGCACTTAAACTGATCTCCTCAAAAAATACATACCTGGGCTTCCTCTCCTCAGCTGCACAGCCTGCTGGTTGAGATACAGCTTTAAAAGGGGAAATATTCTTTAAGGATTTGATTGTGTAGAGTGGGATTCTGTGGATCCATAACCATATATTTAAAAGCTTTAGGATGAAATAATATTTGATATGTGGTTTCTGGTTCTTTGGTTGTTTTGTAGCCTAATGTGATAGCACTGAGCAAGAGTTTAGTAACTGCAGCTGCCAGATTCGCTCGTGCCCTTTTTTATCCTTAATCTGCTGCTGTAGTTTTATTAAAAGCAAGACACAAGCTCCCTCTAGTGGAACGATTGATGTACTTAGTTATTTTGATTTTTATTTATTTATTCCCAACTAAGTATTTTAGTATAAGCAGAGAGGCTGATTCTCATATTAGCAGCATTTGATTCAAGATGCGTGTAAGCTGTTTCATGCGTTCAGGAATGCAAAGAACAGCTGATGGTTGGATGTGCATTATGTGATCAAACCATCCTGTTTTGTTTGTGCAAATCCTGCGTAGGCATTTCTTGAATTCAGCTCCATCATGTTCATAACTAGTCTCTGCCACAGAACATGACTGTTCTTCCATGAAGCTGAGACCTGTACTACGTGAATCACAATGTTTTGAGCATTAAGATATAAAATATGTGATAAACATTTCATCTTGTATATAAACGTGGAGTTCATTAAAAAAAATCTTTTAGTACTGCCATGTAACACTGGAAAAACCAGAGCATTAGCCAGAAGAAGAGTAGTGAAATTGCGTTCCAAAATATTGAAGCTGCTCTACGCCATCATATCCTCAGCTGGAAAGAGTAGAGACTGCCTTGGTAAGAGTAAGCGAGCTGCTGAATTTGCTTACGGTACCTTTGGAAATGAAAGCATTGCTGACTTGTACAGGAACCAGCAGTTAAGATGCTAGCTGTTACTACTGCCATGGTAGGGGTTGTTTGGGTTGGTTTGGTTTTGTGTTGTTTTTTGCTGTTGCTTAAGTACAGTTCCTATATTTCTTACTAACTAAGAAAAAGCAGCAATCTGCATTTAGAAGACTGAATAAATCAGTATGTAGTACGCTACAGGCAGAGGCGTTGTCGTTTGGCTTGAATTTTCTGAATTTTGTTTTCTCATTTTATATATACACTTGGAGGACTGGGAGATGGTGATGTCACTGTGCTTCATATTAGGAGATGATTGTGTGAATATTTATAGAGTTGGTGGAAGAACAGAACAGGTTCAGTGCCTGTGTCCCTCTGATATAAAATAAGGATGTTCCACTCACAGTAAATAGTATTTGAAAGAAAGTTGAAATACATAGAAGTGAAATAAGAGTAAGGCACTAATTGCTGACTTATCTAGTAATAAAATTCTATGTTCTAATACTGATGGAAGAAAAAGAAAGGATGGGGAAAAGACAGTATCTATGCTATAGTATTGAATACGCACTCAAGCCAACTTAAAAGATAATCTTTTTTTATTGTGAGAAATCTCTTGCCTCTTAGAGATGCTATAAATATATTTGGAGGCCATTCTTTTGCTAGAGACACTACAGATCTGTACCTTGCTGTGTTCCCACTAAATAAGGTTACTGATCCAGAGCTATCTACAGGAGCATTGGTGTTCTCATCTGGGAAAGATTACAGCACTGCATTTTCTGTACTGAGGAATGCTGGCCACTATTAACATCTGAAGGGCTGTGAAATGTATAATGTAATTCCAGTGAATGGCTTTAGTAGGGATTCTGTGGTTGTTTGTTGGTGGGGTGTTTTTTGCATATTCACACAGGGTCAGTTGTATGTGAACCACATACCTGAGTTTAACTACTCAAATGAAATCAGTCCCATTGCTTGGTTCTCTTAAGTTCACGAAATTTGAACTTTGAATGTTTTTCACTAAGAATCTTAGATTAAATTGAATCAGAAAACTTTCTTTGAACTCCAATGGAAGATCTTAAGGAGATTTTGTTACTTAAGAAATAATCATGAATTTAGGAAACTGATGTATTTTAATGAAAGAAACCATAGTAACAGTCTCTGCAAAACTTCTACAGGAAAAGAGTTTGTGCAAAAGGGGAGAGGATGACTACAATTGGTAGAAGACAACTTTGATAATAAAAAGGGAATTTGAATGTTAGTTTGATATGGGGGGAAATAACTGTCTAAAATAACTGGAGAAGTAACTGACTGCATTCATGGATAGTGATAGAAGTATATCTGCCAAACTTTTATTATGTAAAAACACTTTATGAGCCGGTCAGCAGAGCTGAAATATCAAAATAGTATTTGTGGGATCTTCTAAAGTGTTATCAGTCATTTAAAGCCAGTTAGTGATAGTGGGAATATCTCAGCTTTTCAGTTTGCTTTGCTTTTCTGTACTGCTCTATGAACTGGAAAATATTTTGATTCTAACACAGTTGTTTTGGTTTTTTTTCTCTTTTCTTTGCAGTGATTCTATTCTGTATGGCAGCCCTAATATTTCCAATAGGATTTTACATCAATGAAGTCGGAGGTCAACCATATAAATTACCCAATAACACAGTGGTTGGGTCTTCGTATGTACTGTTTGTCTTATCCATTTTCTTTACAATAGTTGGACTTCTATTTGCTGGCAAAGTTTGTTTACCTGGCTGATGAATGTGGAACTGCGGGACTTTGTTTTGGAAAAGAGCAAGACATCAGAATTGCATTCTCAGGAGGATGCCTAGATGTGACTATCAAACACTCACTGAAAAGAGGAATGCTTTGACTTTTTTTCACTATGCACTTTGGATTAATAAAAAGGAGAGCCTTTCCCATAACCAAATACAGACAACGCTGACTAATCTCCTGAGCATATGTAATGCAGTCAGGTCTGCACTGTGATAGGAACTAGTGAAGAATGCTTTACACTGAGAAGCATAATTCCCCACGTTACTGTACTGTTCTAGTTTTTAATGTCTAATGATTTGGAAGTCAAAGTATTTATGAACTTTGTGGTAGACCAGAGGGTTGCAGAGAAATGCAAGCGAGGCTGGCCTCGCTGTGTAGGAGATTAGTATTTTACATCCTCTGTCTCATGAGCAAAGCCTTTGGCACCAGTATGGATCAGTCTTTCGTTGCTGCACCAAGAAGCCAATAGAGCAAACGTTCTCCAAAATGTACGTACCATCCAGAAGACATACATCCCCTCCTCCCCCACAAGCTGTAGAAAAACACTAAAGAACATTTTAGAGGGGGATTTCTTCCTTATATTTATATAAATATATATATAAATATATATATATTTTGCTGATGCAGTATACAGTGTGTGTGTATGTGTGCGTGTGTATATACACATATATGTATATATTTGTATATACACACAAATGGTTCCTGGAAGAGAACTCAGAACGCTTTGCTAGCAAAACACTGTGGTGTGCAAAACTAGAACTCAATATAAAAAGAAGCCATTTCTCTGAAGGCCACATAGCTGAGAGTCTTCAGTTTACCTCATTCTTTGTAGCAGCCCTTGATTTTAACAGTTTTTGTATTAGGTACAAATGATCCCATGCCTTTTTAGGTGCAATTTTAAGTTAAGCTAAAATTCTTTTTATGGTAATTTATTTGTATATGAGGGTGGAAGGTGAGATCATGTCATACCTTAAAGTTAAAATTCTAATTTTGGGAAACTGACACTATTTAAATTATTAGCAACTGTTGTACAGGTAGTCTCTTTTTCTACTGCATTGTTATATTAACAGTCATTTGTGTTCAAACATAACTGTTTACTATGATGAGCATTTCTCTAGCACAGGTAAAATGTAATGTTTAAAGTAATGCAAACACTATTTCACTGCAAAGATGGATGGATTTATTCACCTTTACAAAAAGAAAAAAAAAGCAATATCACTGTATAAACAGCATATGCCTCATTCACTAAAGTGATTATAAATAGAGATTTAAGGGCCAACCAGATTTAAAGTAAATGTTCCTCACAAAAAAGCAGCTTTACTTTTCAACACAGGAAAAAATCTTTGGCTCCGTAGGTGTTATCATTCTTTACTACTCAGTCTACCTAGCAGAAAGTAACATTTCTGTTAGTGTCCCAGGAAGGCTGCCTGCACTCTCAGTATCTGCTTTCCAGTTAATCCATGATTTACCAAAATAATCACTTATCAGATAAGCGTAAGGGTTTGAAATAAGATGTTCTGTTCAATTCTTTTAAACTGTGTACCAGTTGGTTCCTGCAGGATTCCTGTTCTGGCACTTCTCCCTGATTCTGCTGAACTGAACAGTTGATAGTTCATATTTTAATGTTCTTGAACAAACCTGTCATTCTAACAGTCTGAGTGACTTTTTTTTCCCTTACAAGTAGAAGCGTTCATAGAATACTAAATTTCACTGAAGTAGTCTAACCTGTAAATACAGTCAGGTCCCAGCTATTTGTAAATGATTTGGTTCCTAACTTAAGCCTTTATCAGTATGAATGTTCTAAGTCCTTCCAGTGGATATTGGAGGAAAGATCATAGAATTATAGAATATATATATTAATGAAGATAAATTATGGAGATAGATATATTAACGAAAAATAAAATGTCAGGTTAAGCTGCTGGATATGTCTAAATTTTCAGCATTACTGTGTGTTTAACCAAAGCTGAAGTATTTGCTCAAACTTAGACTTAAATTGTGACAAAGGAAAGCTCTTCTGTTTTCAGAAATATCACTTTTGTAAATAGTTCTAGGTTCTTGTAACTGGAACATAGTGGGTGGAAGAGTTTCTTGGCTGCCAAGATGCCCCCCTTCGCCTCCTTATTTCAGGTATAGAAACATTGTGTATGCAGTGGATTTTGGCTTCAGTTAAATGGATCATCCCATAATTAAAAAATACAAATATTGTTCTTTAAGCATAGCCAGACTGTGGCAGGCTGGCTGGGAATTGATCTGATCTGGCAATGCTGTTGCTATGAGTTATTAAATAACAGATGTACCCAGCCAGCTGTTTTTATTCATAATTGAGGCATTTCAAGTCCAGAAATAGATACAGCCATCTGCATTAAAAGTAAAATGATTCCATCAGTAAATGAAGAGACAGCTGTCAACAGTTGCTTTTAATGTCACTAAGTACTATATAGTACAGTATTAATTTATAGCAGAAAATCATATCTTGTAAACTGTATATAAAACACTGTTTTATGGTGCAATCATTTGTCAAACTTTTGTCTGTTACTTTTGTTTGAAAGATGTGTACATTATTCTTCAATACCTAAGAGCATCACTGTAAAATCTGCTGAATATTATTTATAGGTTCTATTTGCACAAGGTTTAAACTACAGAAAGTTCGTATTGAACATGCCTAGACATCTGTAGACTTTTTCAGTTCATGAAAAGGAAAAGTTCCCATGCAAGTCTTCTCCAAAGGTAATCCCGTATTTATGTTGAGTGTTTACATAAACTTTTCTATTTCTGCCATTGGTTTTTTGAAGGACATTTTGTGCATCACTAGAAATTCTTCAGTCTCCTGCTTCCAAATTCTCCAGGGGGTTATTGCTATGTGCACGTTGTTTATTCGGCTAACAAAGCGTGAGATCAGAAGCTTGAAATACCTTCAGAGTGAAAACTGTTGGATGTGTTGATGTAAATCTTACGGTTGAGACACGATCCCCTCAGAGCCATTTGTTCCAGGGGTGAGCAGAACGTGCTTCCTTGAGTGCACAGCCCGCCACATTCAGCCTCACGGTGCTTTGCTGGCAGGGACACCCGTTGTACCAGAGCTGGGCAGGGCTGTGCTCCTGAGCCCGACCCTCTGGCCATGCCAGCTGGGCCCTGCGTTTAATGCCTGTGTTTCAGAGCTGTTACTTAACCACTTCAGAACACACCTGTAGATAATAAAATTGTCCTTTAAAAACTGTGTGAAGGATGAAATAATGAAGGAAGCGGTGTGTGCCAGCGGCTCTGCGGCCCGGGCATCCCGTCGCTCCCTGCCCCAGGCCTGGCTGCCTGCGTCCGTCCGCCCGCCTTTACCGAGGAGTGTTTTCTAAGTGCTTACATTTCTTTTTTTATTTTTTTTTTAATCGATGATTTCTGAACAAATGTTAATACAAACTGTATAAAAATGAACATAATTTTCTTCACACTTGTATTTTTGTTATCAAGTTTATCAAAATAAATTGTCTACTAAAACCCCCGGCCGTGCCTGCGCTGACTGAGGGAAGCCGCGCGGCCGGTGCCGTGCCCTCCTCAGCGCCCCCTGGCGGCGGGAAGCGGCGCCGCTCGGTCTCCATCGGCAACGCCGTAACACAGCGCGCACGCGGCCGGCTGTGGAGGGGCGGGAAGCCGCTCGGGCTGGCGGTGCTGAGCGGGGGTCCGGGCGGCGGGGCGGTCCGCCAGACTGCCGGGACGTGAGGAGGAATAGGAGCTGGAGAGCCGTTTCCCGCTGAGGTGAGTGTGGGGCGGGACAGCGCGGCAAGCGGAGGGGCTTCTTCCTCAGTGAGGTGAGGGGCGGGCGGGGCGGGGGTCTCTGCTGAGCCCCGAGGATTTTGCCTGTTTTTCTGTTTGAGCTGCGCTGTCGGTCTCCCAGTGGCACGTACAACTAATAAACTGCCTGAAAACCCACATCAAACAGCTTCCGGAGTGTTTTGTATAGGTGGGATAACTTAACTCCTCGTTGAAACTGCTCTCTGACTTGCTGCTGTCCTGCATGCTGTGTAATCGTGGTTTATAAGTTCCACCAATTTTACTGCTTTTTGGAATGCTGTATATTCTCGAGGTGTTAAGCGTTTTGCTGTGATGCTGTCATGTTTTCTTTTTTCAATGCTGAGTTTATTCATGTAATGGATGCTCACGGCAGGAAGGCAGCACAGTTGTAGGGCAGTGGTCAGTTCTTGGAAAAATGGGGTAAGGTCGGCGTTAGGAAATCCTGCTGGGGCTTTGTGAATGGATAGAGTCGGTAATTGCAGCTTGTGTAACTGTGTACTGTGTCCCTTCAAAAGAATATCAGATATCTAATGGAACATGTAAATGACAAAATAGAAAACATAAAATCATAGGACAGTTACGACTGAAAAAGATCACTCAGATCTTCTCGTCCAACCCCAAGCCATCCCCACCACTCACCCCGCTAAACAGCATCCCTCTGTGCCACGTCTCTGCAGCTCGCGGACACCTCCAGGGACAGTGAATCACTGTTCTTACAGAGAAGTTGTTTTTCTTAATATGCAACCTCAACCTCCCTTGTACAACTTAAGGCCATTCCTTCTTGTCCTATCACTGTTACCTGGGAGAAGGGGCCAACCCCCACCTCTCCACAGCTTCCTTGCAGGGAGCTGTAGAGAGGTATGAGGTCTTTCCTGAGCCTCCCCCAGTCTGAACTGACCCAATTTTCTCAGCTGCTTCCCTTAAGACTTGTGCCCAAATACTTCACAGCTCTGTTGCCCTTCTCCGCACATGCTCCAGGGCTTAACATTTCCCACATGAAGAACTTTAAAAAGGCTTTATGATAACATACAAATATTCTTGATTATAAGGTCATCCCATAAAATTTGGTGTCTTATAGGGTGACCGCCAAAGCCAGTGTGCAAGGTGACCATCCACTACAGCAGGATTTGACTATGTCTGATCTAGAACCAGATAATGGGTTGCTGGTAATCTGTGCTAATGAGACACAGGATCTGCTGGTAGGTGAGTTTTCCTGCTAAATGGAAAGCTGGAGAAGTAACACATACCCACTATAAATACACAGCATGGAAAATAAGCTGAAAAACAGTTGATTTGTTTCATTTGCAAATGCATACAGATAATGCGTTTGATAAAATCACAGAAGTCATGAAGCTGCATAGGGTTTCTTTGGAAAGATGCATTAGTCTGTGAGTGTATCAGACAAATTATAAAGTAGATTGATGGTTGATACTGTGTTTTTTCTTTAGAAAAGTGGAAGATGATATATATACCCCTTCAAAATCTGTGAGGGAGGTTTTGGGGATGCTTACTTTTTCTTCTTTTCCGGTAATTCACAAGCGTATACCTTTATGTCTTTTACAGAACTGTTTCTTGGCTTCCTACCTACCTCCCCCAAACTGAGCTCTTTCTTTCCTTCCTTTAGCTCACAGTGGGCACTGTTGTGAAACCTTTTAACTTTGTATCTGAAATGCAATCGGAAATTCGCTACCTGTGTAGTTCAGGACTACATTGACTCAGTCGTGCTGGCCATACTGAGTTTTCCAGGCTCTTTTTCTTACGGTGCAGTTCATATAAATAAAGCAGTAAGCCTATTTTAATTGCAGAGCATTTTACTTGTCCTAAAACTTACTGGTCATCAGTTGTAGATGTACCTAAAATTATTTTGTTCTTCACTATATACAGCCTACCTGCAGCCATCCTTATAGTTTTGTCCCACTTGAATGACACATTTCATTTTCTGTGCTGTATTTATTTTTTTCTTAATTGATCTGTAGACAACAGGAATGAAGAAAATGCTGCCTAGCAAGGTGCAAACCACAGAAGAGTGGCTAAGAAACTACAGTTTAGAATCCTTGCAGTTAACATTAGAGCATCTGGTGAACGAAGGCACTATTATTTTGTAAGTACGATGTTGCACTTCCTTTAAATAGTGCTGATCTGTGTGCATCTCTGATGTTAATTGCATGCAGTGTTCCAGGGATTCAAGGAATGGTGCTGAGGAGATAGAGCTGGCAGAAGAGGCCGTTACTAATTTTGAGGCCAGAGTTTCTGAGTAAGTTTTTATCTTGTTCATGGTTTTGATGCATAACTGTACCTGTGCCATCCGACCAAACTGTCTGCAAATCTGGTTTAAAATAGATGTAGCTTTGATTTTTTTGAAAAGGCAAAAGACTTTTCTCACTCTGTAGTGCTATTCTCCAAGTTGTAAAACCTATGCAGTAGGTGATAAAAATAATTTGGTTAGCACAGAATAGTGTTTGGGGAAAACAAGTACTTTGTTTTGCCTCAGTTCATATATGTTTTAAAAATCACTCATTTAAAATTAGTCTAGAGATTCTGTGTGTGCTGCCTTCCAGTCACAAAGCTGTATTTCATGAGTATCTTTAACAATTATGTAGATCATTTTAAATACATCTCCTGTCAATAAGATCTGTGTGATGATCTAACTTAGTTTTGCCTGGTGCTTCAACACATGGCACACATCCCTCTCCTTCCTCTCATTTGAAGAAATCAGCAGCTAATGAGAAAACATTTCAATAATCTGGTTTTTCAGCCTTTTCCTTCTCTAGTCAGTTAAACCTTTTGGGGAAGAAGTATTAAAATGGCTTGCCCTGTAATTGTTGGTTGTATGAGAACACTGAAAACAGTACTTTTGAAAGGTGATTGGACATGATGAAGGCAAATTGTTGATTGCATGCAAAATAATGCCTTATCTAAAGCTGTGCTATGGCTTTTGTCAGGGCAGTTGAACTTTATCAGCAACGAATTCAGTGGCTGTTGAAGGACAGCAGAAAGGTAACTTGAACTTTTCAGTTTGTGTTCAGAAGAGAGCTCTATACAGTATTAAAGAATATGTTAACCTTTGAATAGTAGTGAAAACAGGCGTTCAGAAAGAAGAAAGATTATTTTTATTGCTTTTAAATTGGTACCTGGGATTTTTGCTTTCTAGATGTTGCTATTTTATTTCTCTTAGCAATTCTAATAGGGACCTCCCAGTGCCCTTAAAGAGGAGTAGCCAGAGCCAAGCTAAACTTTTGGCTGGAACTCGGCTGCTGTAGTTGGTGCCTCTGCCACAGCTGGTTAGTGACTCACTGTACCCAGCTGTGCCCATGGCCAGCAATGGGAAAAGGACATAATTCTGTCTCAGGTGGGACAGGGAAATGAGGCATCCCAAAATCTGCCATAGTGATTTAACCTGAAGAAGATGCTGTGCCCAACATTAATTTTATTGTTGGAAACGATTGATAGTCTTGGAAGGGAAGCAGTGTGACTCACTGATAAGGAGAAACAAGGAGTGTGGTAGTACTCTTTTGTTTTCTTGTCTGTCACTGTCTCATCTTTATGCTTGAAAGCTTAAAGTGAAAATAAATTTGTGACACCCAAATTTAAAATGCTGTAAAAAAAAAAAATTAAAATACTGTATAGAGTATACAGAAACATTTTTAAACTTTACATAAGCTCAATATTTACAGTGACTTCTTTTTTAAGGTGTTTGGCCTTGTAAAAGGAACCAAAGTTGGACTTGTGGTTGATGTGTCTGGTCTGAGTGACAGACCTAGACTAGAGGGTTTTCAGAAAGATCTTTTGGTGAGTAATAATAGAGCAGACTTTGGCTATTGTAACATGTAAATGAAGATTCATAGCTAAGGGGAGGGAAAATCCTCTTGAATTCGTAATGTGCAATAAAGTCTTCTACTGTAGGAAGCTATTCTCTAAATGACTTTGAAATTGCAATCTTTGTCTAGATCCAAATAAATTACTGCAACTACTATAATAATAACAGCAGCTTTCTCAGTGCTTCTCCCAGCATTCTCTTTGATTCTTAGCTTGTCTAAAAGAAGCAACTTAAGAGCTAGAACCGAGCCATATATAGAGTACAATTTCACATCCTGCATTCAGGCATTATTTCAAATGGATTTGTATTATTCAAATTCCTCATTTGTGCATTTTAAATAAAACAACTAAAAAGAAAACTCAGATTTCACTTGGTCCTAATGCCTAACCTGTTGTTTAGCCCTACCCATGAATATATATTAAACATTTTAGTAATTACTTTGTTATTGAATGTGCCCTTTGTGGAACAGTACGTTCTGTTTTGTATGCACATCAACTGAAGAGAAGAAAAATATTCTGTGTCTCCATTAACAAACTGACAGGATTACTGTAAGTTTGCCTGTCTTGTTTCAGTACTCCTTAGCTTAGTCACTTGTGTCACTTGTTTTGGAAGCATTTCTCTGTGGTAGCTGAAAACATTGCTGTCAACTGTTTTTAGTGTAATTCTGGCTTTGTTCCTTTGTATAGTAACTCTACTAGTAGCAGCATGGATAGCAGTGCATTAACAGACTTTTTATTTGTTAGTTCTTAATAGATGAACAGCTGTGTTATAAGAAGCAATTGTACTGCCTCTCATTTGGTACAGAAACTTCACCTCTATGGGAGAGTCCAAAAAATGTTGGTGTTCATGTGTAAGTAAGTTACTCTGTAAAGGTATTTCAGACCAGGTCTCCATTTAATTAGAACAATGTGGAGATAATAATCAGTGTTCTTCATCTGTTGCCCCTGTGCCTTGCAGTAATCTTCGTGGTCAGTTTTATTCAGCTCCTGCACGTTGAGTGCATGTGTTCCTTTTTTTCCCTAGGCTAGGTGAAGCAAAACAGTGGGTACAGCAGCTGGCACCTGCAGGAGGCTGCAATTTGGTGAAAGCCTTAAAACATGTCCTTACAGTGAAAGAGCTGAATTCTCTGGTGATTATAATACGAAGCTGGTAAGTCCAGCTTTAACTTGGATACAGAATTGGTACAAGAATCTGAACTTGTTAGAAAAATAGTAATGACCTAGTTACTTAGTAATGAGCTTTCATCCACCAGTCACTGTGAACCAAGACAAAATTTCAGTGCTTTTATTATCATTTCTAAACACATTCAAACACCAGTAGGAGAAACTCAGTAATTGTTGGAAGAGAGGAGGTAAAAATTATACTAAATGATTGGATTTAATTCCCGTGATTTGTTATTTCTTTCTCATTTAATGTTTTCTGTCTTCTTCAGTATGGCCTTTTCTTCCCTCATTTGGTTACTGCCATTGCTAAGAGATTTTTCTTTCTCTTTTCCATATTTACTTACTTACTGAAATCAGCCCTGATCAGTCTCTGGAAATACTGGCAGACTATGCTCAGCAATGTATGCTAGGGAGAAAACTTCTGGTTCATGCTGTTTCATACGATTGTGGCAGTCCTGCTGCTATTGTAAGTAACTGTCAATACTCACTTCCTGAAGTCTCCTGTCATTAATTTCCTATTTTGTATATGACTTTACTGAGATTTTGAACGTGTCCTCAAAACAGGAGTGGCAAGAAAGCAATGGAAGTATCATATAATCTCTTTGGTTTTCTTTACATGTACCTTAAAGATTCTTTGTTGGTCTGTAATTAAGAATTGAATACTGACAATCCATGTTAACCACAGAGATTACCAAACCAAAGTAATTCTTTATCTTCCTATTTAAATATGTAGGCAACTGTTAAACAGCTTGCAGAAGTTGTCAGTGGCCGCTACCATTGCTACTCTTCAAAGGGAGAGGTAGGTGACAGCTAGAGAGGCAAATGTTTAGTGACTCTTCACTTTTAGAAGACAAACTGCTTATCATCTGAGTAGAAGTTTATAGCAGTGCCTGGTGCTGCTTGCTCTGGTCACAGAACTGCTGAGGATGTGGTGAGTTCACCTGTTTGTTGTTTCTGCAGCTCAAAATGTTTTCCTAAAAAGCACAGGAAGTTTTGCAAGTATTTCTCAGTGACTCAAAGCTGACAATTAGGATGAAAGTAGTGATGGGTTTATTGGAGACTGATTCAAAATAGTAAAAAATAATGTATTTTTAATAAACTTCTATATGTAGAGTCTTAGGTACATTTACACTCCATTTTACCACACCAGACAGTTCTGCACGGCTGCACACACATCAAATAGTAAAGCTGCACGTGGTTGATATTTGAGTAGCAGTTAACTTTATTCCCCTTGTTTCTGTACGTACAGAATTCTGACAGTAGTGATGTTAATCTGCTGCTTCAGGAATCACACAAGGCTCAGGACCTACTCCAGAGTATCAAGCAGACTTTTCAAAGGCGTGTTGATGGCTCACTTATTAGTGGAATAGCAGATGTAAGTGTGTGCGTGTGTATATATATATGTATATATCCCCACAGGTACCTTGAAGTATCAGAGGTAGAAGTCCTTAGTGTTCACAGAATGAAAAAAAGAAGATATGATTGTTCAGGTACATAAGTTGAAGATATGATTGTTCAGGTACACTTCAGATAAGTGAAGTCTGAATATTATATATTGGCCATCTGTTGTAAGAGCAAAGTAAGGCCAAAATGGCAAATTCTCCAAAATGTCTTTTCTCCAAGAAAATAAACTAAAGCGCTCTTGATGAAATTTGGATGAGAAAGTAAATACATCTCTTGTTAATTTTTCCTCCTGTGGAATGTTTGGAGAAATTTTAGTTCTGCTTTGGCCTGATAGAGAGATTATTTTCTCATATCTTTCTTTCAGCCTGTGCAGATGGTCAGAAATGGAAACATATCTCTTTCTTTTGCTGTACTGTCATCTCTGTACTTCCCTGGAGCCTGGAAGCTTTGAAGTTTGCTGAGTTCACCTGTAATTGCTGATCTTTCGTGCTGAAAGTTTGTCAGTGCTGTTCTATAAATCTGTGGCTGTGGAGGAACTTTAGTATTAACAAAATAGTCTGTCACAACAACTGTGAAGTGGACAAGATTGCTTTTAAAGTGGCAGTGAAATTTTCCATCAGGTGTCTTTGCACGTCTGGTTATCTGACCTGAGACATTCCAGGCTAGAGATAAAATGGTCATCTATGAACAGTATTTCTAGCTCTGCTTCTCCTCATTCTCTCTGTTGTGTGCATGTAATACATACTTTTTTTTTTCTCTCATCCAATCTTATAAATATTAAGAACCATTCAGACTACATAGGAAGCAGAAGTCACCCTGAAAAAATGCTGACTGTCCTATATCCCTAAATAAAAGCATGTCATTTCAGAGACATATTAATTAAATCTTTTGTATGAAAAAGTGTCTCCAGATTTCCATTCCTTTATAAAAGATAGATCTCTTACACATTTTTTTCTAAGTGAAAGAGTTCTAATGTCCCATTGAAGTTTGTTGACTTGTTTGCATTGTTGTGAATGAATGGAGAATGTGTTTCATTTTGATTTTCAGATCAGTACATGTAGGAAATGGAGAAGTCAAGATCTGGTTTGTGTATGATGCTGATGGTTTTCCTACCTTTTTTAGCAAAATAACTGTCTGTTTTCCCATGTACAACTATGATGTTTTCATTTTCCCTGTGGATTTTTGCATGTGGCTGATAAAGTGAAGTTACTGGAACACTGTCCTGCAGAATCTATTTCTGGGAGGACCAGTAGTAGCTGTTTTTGAAGTATATTAATGACTGCAATCTCAGCACTCTAAACATCAGTAAAACTAAAATTTTATGCTGAATGTTTAGATTGAGTGTGAGGGAGTGAAAATAAGCAAAAAACTTGCAAGATGTTTTCTTAAAATCCATTTTAGGTTTCCACAGAAGTTGCAAATGCATCAATTCCTTGCTTCCTATCAAGGCCTCCAAAGTATGAAGGACCATTAATTATTCAAACACCACGCTTCCTGGCCAGAACTTCAACAGAATGGTTAAAGACAAATGGATTGAAAGGTAGCACAGAAGGAAAAGCGTAACAGATATGAAACAGGAAATAAAGATAGAGAATATGTTTTATTTAATTTTTTTGTTCCCTGCTATAGCTAAGAAGTTAAACCTTTATCAAGTTTTGGCTCCCAATGCTTTTTCTCCTGTGGAAGAATTTGTACCAATTCTTCAAAAAACAGTATCATCAACTCTACACGAGGCAAGTGATGGGGACCTGCTCCTTTTCTCTTGTTGGGTTTTTTGTTTGGTTGGTTTGGGTTTTTTTTGTTTGTCTGTATTTCTTTCTACTGCTACTTTTTCTAATTAAAATTGGTGCTTTATAAGATAATGACATTCTGTGGGTTTTGACTGAAATTTGAGATGTGCAGCTGTAGCAGATCAGAAATATATTATTCTTAAGAATAATTCAGCAGGAAATTCCATGCTCTTGTAACTTATATAGGCTTCTGTAAGTACATAACTGTTATTTATCCTTCTAGAAAGCTATGATGCAGTTTGAATGGCATGATGGAACTGTGAAAAATATTCATGTTGACCTGCCGATATTACACAAGTATCAGGTGGGTTTTAGTAGGGACACAACCTTGTCAGGGTCAATGACCATCTAATTTTTCTGTATTACTTGCAAGAGCAGCATTTTAGGCTTTACTGTGTTCCTCCAGCACTCTTGTCATGCACATGGATGATTTATCTTTCCTAATGCGAGTGTTGAGGGAAAATGATTTAGATGTGTTTTCAGCATTTTCAGCATTGGAAAGCAGAAATCATTTTCAAGTTCTTTACAGAAGGCTCTCATACTTCTACTTTGCAGTAAGGTATCACTAATATGTACAAGTTGGGCATTTGTAGTTAATGTTTTAGCATATGCTCAGCTGTTCTTTATGCTTGGAATGAATTCTGAATATTGTGACAGCATGTTGCTGCAAATCACATCATTATTTGAATTAGTTGAATACTGAGCTGCACTTGTCACTGCAGAGTCTTGGTCTCTACTAGTCAAAATTATTTTGTGTGTTTGATGAATACACCTTTTGCTGGTGTGCCTCCTATGAGGAGAATGTAGACATTGTGTGGCAGGGACACTGCAGTAAATGCCACCTGACTCTTGGGAAACCATAACACCAGAACCTGAGTTCTAAATCCTTCCAGTGACAGCTTGCGTGGAGTTTTTTTTGTTTCTTCTTCCAAAATGAGTGTGCTGGGAGGAACAGCTGCAGTTTGCAGCATTGCTGGGCGTGAGTGGGCAGTGAATGCTGCAGCTTTGGTTCTGCAGCTTAATGTGAACGGTGAACTACGGTGGAGAGATTTGAATCCTGGGAAAAACAGGAGGATTGTGCAATGGGATTTGATGAGCAGAGGTTCACCATGCTTTCAGATCCAGAATTTCACATCTTGCGATATGGACAAGAACTGTTCTCAATCTGGGGCATAACACTGTAATCACAAAGGCTCGTTATGCTTTTTGTTAGCAGGAAATTAGTGGGAAACTACTTTTATGAAAGAGTATAAGAGTGTTGAGCACACTCTGTCGAGTAGGCTTGGAAGGCTGGGTAGAGTTCAGCCAATAAAGCAATGATACTAATTGCCACCTTTAGTTTGACAGATCTGGGCAATACTTATCCAATTCTTACTCCTTGCCTTCCAGTCTGCAACTGTGTGTTTAAACATTGGTTCTCAATAGTCTTTAAGGCCTTGATGGTGTGACTTCCATAGCAAGCAGTGCGGTGTCTGCATTGTAAGACTGAAGGGGTCAGTGAAGAAAATTTTACAAGACAAAAAGTAGAAAAGCATCCAGCTATGTACTGTCTCACCCTAGAGATAGAAAGATGGTGATAAATAAGAAAGGTGCAGAGTAGTCCAGGTTGTTTCCTTTTGGGTAGCATATGCAGCAGTGTCTACACTGCAGTGTCAGTAGGTGTCTCTCGTACCACCTTATAGTTTCTTTCTGAGTTCCATGTCCCTTTTCTACCTCGATTTGTCCTCATGCATGTAATGCATGCATGTGCTTGTGAAGGTCGTGTTCTGTAGAGTTGGGACAAATGGCCTTAATGTCTTCAAGTCAATATGGTGTTAAAAAAAATGGTATGTGTTTGAAAATATTTTAAGTTTTTATTTTAACTGTTACATGTTATTACAAATGTTGCCTGAAGGTGGTTGGTTGGTTTATTTTTTCTGGCCTCTACTTTGAATCATGCTAACAAAGTGAAGATGAAGAGAATATTTTAGACCCTATGTTGGTCATTTTATGTTTATCTCATGGATTGTGTTCTGCTATCTTTACTAATAATAAAATGGTATCATTAAAATGAATGAGAATCATTACTATGTTTAATGTTAGTTCTGGATTAAGCATTTGGTTACAAAATACTTACTTGAAAATCTTTATTTTTATCTTAAATTTTCTTTATTTTATCCACAGAAACTCCTTGCCAAAATGGTAAGAATCTATGAGAAACGAATTAACTGGCTGTCTGTTGCTAGCAGAAGAATTTGGGGAAGTGTTTGTGAGAGGAGGTATTGTATTCTGGCAGTCCTGGTTTTGTGTATTGGTGGTGATTTTGATTTGTCAACCCCTGCTTTGTGTGTAAATGAGCACTGAGGATCAGAGGGCACAAAACGGTCAGATGTAGAGACAACAGTTGCAGATAGGACCAGTGCAAGCAATCCACTTTTGACAACAGATACTGATATTCATTCATTTACTAATCTAGTGAATTTACAGTTATTATCAGTCTACAAAAAACTGCAGTATCCATTAAATAAGACAAGACTCTTAAATTTCAGTTATCCAGCAAGTAAGCATTTGGGGAGTGGTCTGTCTTAAGCCACGTATACCTGGTGTTTCTGGCCAAATGTCGTGCTTATGTCAACTCTCATACCCCTTCCTATTAGTACTGATACCCAGAGTGTTTCTGTACAGCCTCTTATGGATTCTTATCAGAAAGATAAGTTTCAACCGAGTTTCAAATTTCTGCCTCCACCTGAACTGCATTGCAGTGCCAGATGACAAATGCCAATGCAGATTTATCAGAAAAACTTCAGATTTTTTCCCAGCATGAGAATTGAGCTCTTTAGCTGATTTTGTGTGAGGATCATCTTCAATAATAACAACAATTATAATTAACAATGTGTCTGAATCTTCAGCAGAGGTCTCCCACCCAACTTCAGTTGCGTAATTGCTCTTATTGTCTTGCTTGCAGACACTGAATATGAAGTTTCAGAGAAGATGGCTTAGGCCACTGTTACCAGGGAACTCTTTGTTCATTCATCAAGGACTGAATTGTGTTGGGCACACCTGTCCCACTGACTTCCATAACATCTGTGATACTTTCCATAAGCACTGCTCCCAAGATACCCCCTTTCCATTCACAGTGACCATCCTGCATGGTCTTCACAAGCACACCTTGATATGAGACCATACTGAAGATCATCATTAATAGTTTCTTTTTCCCAAATAGTTAATAGCAGTTGCAGGTAACATCAGCCAGTTGATGTCTGAGCAGCACTGTTTGTCAGTGACTTGCTGGGAGATAATTCCATTTATCTTTGGAATGATACTGTGTAGCTTCCTGAAATGATGATTGGAGAAAGGACAATGAACTATCCAACAATTCTTCTTGTTGGATAACAGCCAAGTTTCAGCCATGTTCTGGATATTCAAGTACAGAGAAGAAAGAGGAGCTGATGAGGGTTTAGTAGCCAGTATGTGCCTACGTGTGCCAGTACACTGATTATTGCATAGCTTAAGGAAGATAGAAATTTCTGTTAATATATTTTAAGAATCTCACTTTAGATTGTACAGATTATTGTTTTTATATAGACAGTACACATACATTTTTATACATAGTTAGATGTTTTCTTTGGTGAGCTCAAGAATGCAGTGAAGATGACAATATGCAATTAATTTTGGTTTTTTAGAAATAACATGTTTCTTGTATAGGGTGGTTATACTTGTTGATGTATCAGTGCCAAACTCCACCTGCATCATCCATATCCAACATTCTTTGCGACTCCTACTTGAAGAACAAATGTCAAATAAGGATTGCTTCAATATTATAGCGTAAGCAGCTACTTTTGGTTGTTGTAAAATAAATGTAACTTTGCAATGAAAGAAGTGTGTTGGTAGGCTGCCGTTACCAATGGGGATATTTTAGAATTTTACTTGTATTTCACATGTTATGATGAAGTAGTTGCAGGAGCAGCACTGACAAAACTGCTCGCTAAACGTATGGATCAGGTGTATAGAATTAAATTAGTAACTAAAATAATCATTTTGTTTTGGACTGACTGAAACTGGTTGGATGAGATTCTTGTATTGTTCATAACAGTGTGAATGCACGTGGCAGAAACTTTTACTAGAAGAAGGTTTTGGAGCTGTCTCAGCACTACTGAGAATGCACTTTAAATTTTAAAGTGACTCCAATACTTCTTTAATGTTTAATTCTTCTTAAACTTCTGTTCTCACACTGCCAGTCAGAAACATGACAGAGCAGCTGGGCAGATACCTGACTGACAGCTAAAAAAGACAGACTTATGGAGGTTCAAAATTTTGGGGAGAACAGAACCCTTACTTCATAAGATGAATGCAGGCAGCATCTCTGGGTTATTGGTCTGAGCAGTATGCTGTTTGTCTGTTGCTGTTTTGTTTCAATTGCAATCCTGCATTACCTCTGCTGAGCTTTTACCAGCTCATTTAGCATTCTGATCAAGAAAAAAAATGGAATCTGGCCCACTGCTTTGAAAATACGACTACCCCTGAGTGATGGATAAACATGAATAACTAAGTGGTGTGAAACTGGAAACAGATAACAATTTTACCTGTATGACACCCTAAATCAGATTTTTTGTCAGATAATTCTGCTAGTTCTTTTGTTTGTTTTAAAGCACAATGTGAGAATTCATTGCTGTTTTCTCTAAAAGATTTGGGAGCCACATTGTGCCTTGGCAGATGGAACTGGTTCCTTCCCAGCCTGAAAACTTACAAACAGCTTGGAGGTAGGATCAAATTCCTTTCCCATACTTAGGAATTAAGTGAGCATAGATACTGTGAAACAGATATAACAAAGAAATAAAATGAATCAGCATTCTGAACAGTTTAGACAATTAAGTATCACAAAAATACTTTGCCACGAACTGTTCTATAGTGATTGTTATAGATGGTTTGTAGTGAAAACTGTCATAAAGTTCAGTATGCCGTAGTGTCTTTGTATTTCATGTGTATATAGAGTATGTCAGTACACAAATACAGAGGTTTTTAAGAAATGCACAGGTCACAGAAAGAATTTAAAATTACTTCAAATTCAGCTGAGATCTGGAAGCTAAACTGTTTTTCCC